ATTATTATTCAATTTGTATAAATGTGTTGAAAAGAATATGTAAAATTAGGTATTAGCCAAGAACTTATTTATCTTTTCTTTTTTTTCTCAGAAAAGTGTATAGGATCTCAGGCTATGTAGGTTTTAATCCTAGTTTTGGCATGTTTTAAAGGGTGACCTCAGCTAGCTGTCTAAAAAACCTAGTAAGATGATATGATAGGTCAATGAGGTAACCTAACACATGCGAACTACTTAGTTTAAGAGTTAGCAGATAGCAAGCCCCCAATATATGTAAACTCTGTTATTGAATCACCATCATAATCCATGTCTGATTATTTATAAAATCTAGAATTATAACATATATTATACTAACATTCTTTTCATTTGCTGAATTGTAAAACAATTAATTAATTATTTAAGAATCTTTACTACATAAATCCTACATACAGCTTTACATTTTTCAATGTATTTTTTAATATATTTTTTCTTTTTTATTGTTTAAAGTATTACAATAGTAGTACATATGTAAATGTACCATCTGATTTGATCTTCAACTCGAGTGTAGGTAGACTTTATAGTTATATACTTTTTGACAAGAAGGGAAATCAGCAATAGGATTACTATGTGTTGCCTAGTTCACAATTCTATTATTGTTAATAAAGCTGTGATCAGCACGTGGGCCATGTGATTCCTCGTCTAGAATTCTTATAATACAACTATCATCAGCTTCTTGAATATGTTGCAATATTTATCTTACCCAACTTTAGTCTTCCCTTTTTACTTCACGTGTTAAATTCCATGAGTCAGCTTATCTAAAAGTATGTTATAAAGGATTTTTAAGAACTTTACAAGTGCTAGAGTAAATTTTCTTTACTCTGCTTATATTGTTGAAGTGGAAAAAAACTTTCAAAGCATGAATCAATACTTAAAAAAATACTATGAAAGTTAAGGGCATAAAAAATGGAAAAATTTGGTAATTTAAAAATATGATAGTTTGGTGAAGGCCAAGGAAGGCCAACATTACAAAGTTTTCATACAAATAATAAGTAAAAGTAAAAATACAATAAAAATGAAGTTAACATAACTAATGGACACAGACACTGGGGGGGTGGGGGCTTGCCTGGGCTGGGAAGGCATAGGGCAGGGAGTCAATTGGGGGAAAAGGAGACATATCTAAAACTCTAGACAATAAAATAAAAATAAAAAAATAAAAAAGAACTGTGAAAAGTGAAAAATAATGAAGTTAAAATTTTTTTTAACATTTTTTAAATTGTCAAATGTTAGAAGACTATTTCCTTACTATTAATAAGGACAAAAATACCCATGCAAAAGAATAAATAAGGACATTATCACAAATATTTTAAAATATAAATAGCTAACATACTTAAGAAAATAGGTTAAACTTCACTAAAATATTTACCAATGAAAAAGAACTTGTTACTCCTAGCCGGCTTGGCTCAGTGGATAGAGCATCCACCTGTAGACTGAAGGGTCTGAGTTCAATTTTAGCCAAAGGTACTGGTTTATGGGCTCTATCCCCAGTAGGGGGCATGCAGGAGGCAGCCATTCAATGAGTCTCTCTCATCTTTGATGTTTCTATCCCTCTCCTTCTCCCTTCCTCTTTGAAATCAGTAAAGAAATATATTTTAAAAAATAAACTTGTTAACAAGTTTATTAAAGTTCTGAATAAACCAGTGTGTGTGATGTGTGAAGATAGGCAATCTCATACATTGTGTACATGTATGAACAGAAATTTAGTGAAACTCTCCTTATCAAAATAAAGTTCACATTTTTTTACTTAGAAATTATACTTTCTGCTGTTTACGGTCTTAAACAAAACTATATGTACATGAATTTTCAGCATTGATTTTTGTAAGATCAAGATTTAGAAGCAATTAAAACTGTCTATTAAATAGGAGACTGATCATTAAGACACTATATTATTTTTGTGGACTATCTTTTAATTTTTTAAAAGAGTTTCTTCATGATAGGGTATCTCCAAGGCACATAATATGAGAATAGACAAGTTGCAGAAAGTATGATTCAGAATATATATTACCCCATATACATATGTATATAATGTTAAAATTAATAAAATTACTGGGGTGGAGAGAATATATCTAAATGTCTTACTTCTGAGGAATAGAATTAGGAGTTGAAAAAAACTTCTTATTTTATATCTTTCTTATCTTATTTTATATCTTTTCAATATTTCTTAGTTGTATAGAATACTTTGATAAATTCTCTAAAATAAACATGTGCTTAATAGTCAATGATCACCATAGCAATCATTTATGAATCAAGTGCTTTATGTCAGATACTGCAGAGGCCTTCACATCATCACTCTCAGTCTTTACAAAAATTCTAAAGGAGATATTTTCATTGTGACTAAGAGAGGCAAAGCAGTTAGGAGGTGATAGATGCCAAGTTCAAACTCAGGTCCATTCACTTTCACATCAAATGTTCTATTCCAATAAAACAATGGCATATTTATGATAGGAACAAAGCAGCATAATAACCCTGGATTTCTGGATATTCTCACCCCTTTGAAATATTGTTATGGTTAAGATCATTGTTGTGTGAGGTCATTCATTCAACCAGCTTGAGCCTGGCCCGGGCTTTAGGGATTTAGCAGTAAACTAAACAATAAGTGGCCACCCTGTCACCCTCCTCACAGAGCCAACATTCCAGCTAATGCAGAGACAGGACAAGAAACTAGGTCAAGTGCATGTCTCATGGTGCTATGCTATATAATCTGCAGGAAATAAAGTGGAGAAGAGAGAAGGGCAGGAGCCCAGTTGGAAGGGAAACATAGTTAAGTGCCTAGTAGTCAGGCCCCTGTCAAGTATTGCACAAAACTCACCTCATTTCATTCTTATCATCACCCTCTTATTTTGTTTTCTCCACTTTTTGATTAAGAAAGTAAGAAGAAGTAGTTATATAAATAAATCCTCAGTGATTATAAAATCAGAATTCATTTATGTCTGTCTGATTCCAAACCCTAGGCGGCCTCTCACAAAAAAAGAGTTCCTAAAGAAACTGTGCCTAAATTGACTTTATTATATTGAAAAAATGTATCCTTTATTCTACCAAAAGTATCTAGCGTGATCGTGGATTTACATAAGGCAAAGGGTATACTGTCATATAAAGTATATCCCTTCAAAACATCGTGGGTACATAATCTTGTAAAGATGAAAACCTCAACATTCTTTACTCTAAAATGGATACCGCAGTTTCCTGCCTTGCTGCTCAAGGTGTACATTTTGCTCAAAATCTAAGTATATGATTGTAGATTTTACTGTGCGCCTTCCGGGCCTGTGTGCTAAGCCACTCAGGAGCTGTCCTCTACGGGACTGAACACTTAAACAGCTGCTTCTGGGAATGTAAATTTGATTCTTTGGACTGCTCATGGGAGTGTGTGACATTTTCCCCTCCAGAGACAGCGGAATTGGATGGATGGCATTAGGCTTCTGATTAAATAGTGATCCAAGTAAGTTCAAGGCCAATTTAGGCATCGATTTTGCATGTATTTATTCTGATATGTCTTTCTCTAACACTGTTCATAGTTTCCTTATAATCTAACTATTTTTCAATATGTTTAAAATATACTCGTTTTTTAAACCATTCTATCTGAACTCCGGTGTTGGTGAGCTATTTCTGGATTGTCATAGTTGTATGCGTGTGTGTGTTTTATGTGTGTGTGTGTGTGTGTGTGTGTGTGTTTGCGAGAGAGAATAGGTTGAGAATAAAATATATCAGAGCATTTTAAATAAAATTGATATGCTTAATCAAAATATTTAATTCACTTTTATAAGGAAATCATCTTTTTACGGTAACAAAATCTCTGTAAGTTACTCTTTTAAAATGAAAAGCATAAATTACAATGAAATTGTGTAAGGCCATTTCTACATTAACCTAATTAAGCAGTCTGAAAACTGAGGGGGGGGGATCCCAAAATACCTACAGTATTTTATAACATGTTGTTAATTTTTAAATAAATATGTCAGTAAAAATGCCTTGAAACGAGAAAGCAATACATGAAGAAGAAATTTAAAAAGAGAGCTTTGGATTCCTTCCTTCAGTTGTACTGCTAACGTATGATAGGATTCCCTGCATGCCCAGGGGGACTAGCAGGAGCAAGCCAATGATAAGGACTGGCTAACATATGATGTAATGAGCTAAGTATATCTCTGCCTGTTTTTGTCCTGTTGCTTTATTTCAAGGTTGACTTGGGAGCATTTATTAAAGGCCTGTCCGACAGGTGACAGGTTAACCTTCTGAATAGTTTGATTTTGCCTGTAGGATTCTGAAAATCTCTTTGTCAGAATGGATTCTTAAGATTGAGGGTCCTTCCCCCGCGCCCTTCCCCCCCGCCCCCTGAAGTGCAAGGCCTTCTATTTTGGCTAGATATAAAATGAATGACGTTCTTTTAAAGTAACTCATGTATCTACTTTTTAATATATATTACAAGATCATTCTAAATAGTAATTCTATTTACAAGTTATTTGATCATTGCATTTTGGCTGAAAACAAGTGAAGAGGCATTTCATATTGTGAACTTTGTAGGTGGATTTTGCTGTCCCCATGAAATTTTTATAGGACTCACAGAATATGATAAATAGTTAAGAATTTCCAGTTAGAACAATGGGCCATTTCCTTTTTTAGAGTCTGTTTGTCATCTTTGCTGATTGACAAAGTCTCCAACTGTTTTCAAGATATTAGTCTCAATGCACTTCAGACTCATGCTGTACAGGAGAGAGTGTTCTATTTAAACTTCATGAAATGAGCTTGGCGAGCTGGTCATGACAGTGAAAGGAACCTCTCATTACTCTCCCTAATTTACATTCCTCACACCCGTACCCCTAGTTCATCATTTGGAGTAATGACTGTGGGGAAACAGAATGTATCACATGCAGCTTCAGTTCTTTTTCCGCCCTGGCCTCTGACTTAGTTGGATAGGCAAATGGCCAAAAGTAAATAACTAAAGTGTTGCTGTGTATCTCAGATATAGGTAAGGGGTCCTTTCCAGACCACAAAAATAGACCGTTAAGAGCCATACCAGTTGTGTGATGTGTGTGGGGTTTTTTCTTTTTTTTTTTCTTTTTTTTTTAAATTCCTCTGGCAACAAACCACTCACTGGGATTTGACGGGCGTTGTGGTCCTTTTTTTTTTTTTTAAGCATATTTAAACTCACACTTTGTAATGAGGATTTCAGTGCAGGGTTTTTTCTGCAGAATACCATTTGATCCTACTAAGAATTGTCTGTTCAAATGTTGGAGCACTTGATTGAAAAATCCTTCTTAGCTTTTTTAAAGGTAAGTCATATGATTTTTTTTTAAACATAAGAGATTTCTATCTCCCAAATGATGGATGACACTACTATATAAATACTCTTAAGAAGTTATATAACAACAACAAAAAGCAGTAGCTGTTTTGTTAGTCACTAGGCTTTATTTAAAAATTAGGTTTGTGTTGTTTTCTAAGTTATCAATTTTCTACATTTTGTGTTTTAAAAAATATTAAAACCTTGTTTAATGCTCAATGACATTTCACTTCTTGATGTTTAAAATGTTATGTTTTTCTGTAAACATTTATTTGTTAATATTTAAAATGATTTACAATACATTTAGATTATTATAAAACTTACATTGTATACTTAGGCTACTTACACATGATTTTTAATTTAAATTATGAATAGAAACAATCATAAATGAAATCAATATAGTAGAATTAGTTGTTATAAATGACTTGCCACTCTTATGTCAACATGCTATCTTATATGCAATTGTTAACTACTTATTACTTTATAGAATATTAACATACTTAATTTTCTATCTGAATTACACAATTTTGGTGAATTTGACTTTGCATGGTTAAATACAATGTATATTTAGATATGTTCTGAGTAACTATTTTTTAAATTAACAAACATTATAATTGTCCTGGGAATGGTAAATTATATTAATTCCAAATAATGATTCTAGATTTTATCACTAGCTCAAGTGTAAATTATATAAAATTTGTTAGCAGACTAAAAATAAAACAAAACTGATGTTTTGGGCTATTACAAATATTAAAAAAATTATTTTATTGAATCATGATGCCAAACATAAATAAAAAATAAATTATTCTGAAGAAATTTAAAGTTTCAATTTAATTACACTAAATGAATTCATCTATAACTGTAAATGGCATAAATTCTTTAGAGTGAATCTCAAATAATTACTTGGATTATCAAGTAACATATTGAAATATATTTTTAAATTGTTTGCATGTACTTTTTAGTCCATTCCTATATGATTGTAAGTTAGTAATGTTTTATTTTGTTTTAGTACAGAGTTGTTTTTATTCAATTTCTAAGTATGATTCTTTTATAGTATTCCTACCAGGTTTCTCTGGATCTATCAGAAGTTTTATATTCTTTACCCAAACAAACCTCACAAGTCTAAACCCTTGCCAGTAATGTCTCCTGGATCTAAAAAAAAAAAAAACATTGCTTATAATATTGGTTTGCAAAATAACCAAAATTAAATTTTTAAAACTTTTGTTATATAGAGACTCCAGCAGTCCATTGAAACTTATGAAAGAAGAAATATGAAGACATTTTTTTCATTTACCAGAATTATTATTAAACCAGAACAATACATCAAACACACAGTCATCATATAATAGATTAACCTGGGAGGAATATCATAATTATAATTGAAGAGATACTTGGACAGAGTGTACTGAAAATTTTGAAATTTACCTCTGAAATTATTATAGTTGCCATCCTTATTTTTGTAGGAAAATATCTGGTCATGGTTACTCAAACACATTTGAATCTTATGGATCCTTTTGTTCCTGAAGGAACTCACTTTGTAACTTTTTTTCTGATCTAATCACAGTGTGTTTTAGTTCACTGGCCCAAGTCATGGCTAAAAGTTTCAAGTAGCATTTTCTAACCTAGTAGTTCTCCTTCCATTTGCATGTTATTCTAAGTTTCTGTATATATAAAATTTAAATCATTTTATCAGATTATGTTGTAAACTAAATGTTTTGCAAATAATCATTCTTATTTGCATAAACTACATACATTTATCAGACTTTTTATAATAATACTTTACTTGGTCAATATGAAATAACATTATGCTATAGTTGTTTGACATAATGTTTTATAACATTTCAAAATAACAATAACATTTACTGTGATAGGAATTTTTTTATATATTACCTCATTTAATTTTATTTTCTACCTTATTTAATGTACAATAAACCCATTTTAGAGAAAGTTGAGTCATAATAGAGGCGTATGTGGATTGTTTTTCTATGTTAAGGAAATTGGAAGGAAAGCTTACAGATAGAATAGGAAATTTGAGGTACTAGTCACTCATGTGTAAGAAAATGTCATCCAGGTCTTGGCATTCATTTATGATATAAGTACTCTTTTTTTTTTTTTTTGCTTAAAGTATTACAAAGGGTATTACATATGTGTCCCTTTTTAAATTGACAGTCCGCCTCCCCTCCCCCCCCAGTGATGATATAAGTACTCTTATCATCTGAAACGTTTTCAAGTTTTGTAGTTCACATCCCAGGAAATTTTACCTCTGGACCATACTTTTTTTCTGGATGGACTTTCCCAGGGCACCTACACATGGGAATAATTGCAGATTCTCTAGGAATATTCTGATTTTCTGACCTATGTATTGGAGACACTTCTCTACCACCAGGTTCTCAACATCATGGAAAGGCATAATAGTCATAAAGTCATTCTAGAAATACTCTGATGATTTAACAGTTAAAATAGAAAAAAGAAAAATTTCGTTCTTCTTTCTTCTTTTAAATATAACCCAAGGGAATAAAATACCCTCACTAATTCTACAGAAGGAATTGGATTTATAATCTAAAAACTGAGAGGATACAGCTAATTTCCCCTAGACTCATGAAAGGTATAATAGTGACATCTTCAAACAGGCCTTTTAATTTCTTTTTCTTCCTTACAGAAGTCTCAATAAGTTTTCTTTTCTGTACCTGTGATCAATCTTTGCTTTCTAAACTTAGGTACTTTACGCAAGAAGCAAAGTATTACAGATATCAATGTCTTCTCTATTTTGTATGAAGGAAAATAATAAATACAGAATAAGAATTAATCCTAAGTTAGCAAATAAAATAAATTACCTACTTTAATATGTAAGGAGCTGTGTTATTAAGAAAAACCAGTGTGTAAGACACAAATTTTGCATGCTCTCAACATCTAAATTTGAAAGAAAAGTGGGGATAAACTACACTTTTTTTCCCCCTGAGGGTAAACATAAGTGGAGACACTGTTGAGTAGAATGTGTGATGGAGTCTGAACTTTTCCCTTCTTTACACAATACATGTCTTACATAATATATTAGTGCCTCCTCTGCCTCAGGTGAGTAAAACTGATTGTAATTTTGAAATAGGAAGCATAAGGTTAAAGTATAATTATAGTAGCTGTAATTAATATTACTCATGATTATGTCAAGGCTCTGAGGTTAACAAATGAACCCAAGTATGTCAAATACCTTGCCTCTGCTTAAGGAAAAAATGTTGGAAACTTACATCATGTTAACAAAATTGAATCAATCAGAAAATTTGAAAAAGTAGATAAACTTAATCTCTCTCAAAAAAAAAATCAGTACATGTTTGAATGCTTCTATCTTTGCTTATATATCATCCAGACTGGTGTTGGACTAACAACTGTACAACCATGTGATTCTACAGAATAAATTTCCTGACACTTCTGTTTTCTGATGAGCCTGACTCAACATCAGAGGGACATAGACACTATTTCACTTAAGTTTTAAGTTCACAGCTGGCAGCGTGTAGGGTAGGCAGTATCCAGATATCCATATTTTTTTAAAAAAATATTTTTTATTAATTTTAGAGAGGAAGGGAGAGGGAGAGGATGTGCCCTTGACCAGAATCAAACCCAGGGATCGTCAGTCCACAGGCTGAGGCTTTATTCACTGAGCCAAACCGGCTAGGGCCAGACATCCCCATTCTTGACATCCCTCGGCCCAGGGTTCTTGGAAGTAAGAATGATGAGTTTTTAGCTGTAGGGATGAAGGCGTGTGCTGCCCCCCTGGGTCCTCAAGTGGACATACTTAGGACTGTTTGCTCTTTGCAGAAATTCTTCCCTGTAGTACAAGGGCTACTTGAATAAAGGAGAAAGATTCTAAGTAAGTCAGATAGATTCATGACTACATTATGGCGTGGAATCTGGAAAAAAACAAATAAATGCATATATACCTATTTCAGCACCAATACACTCTTAAATTTGCAAATCATTTTACATTCCATCTGTCAAATTTGCGAATAACATTAATATTGAATAACTTTTAGTGGCTTACATAGGAGATAAAATAACTTTCCAACAAAGATGACTTCGTCTTTGAGTTATGTTTTCAAAAAATGTTTCATGATAGTACATAAACAAAACTGGAGCTTGACACTATGGATTTTTTGTCTCAATTTTTAAATGGCTTTGCAAAGCCATCAGTTTCCACAGAGATTCTCCTAGAACTTCCTAAAGGTAGAAAGAAGAGTATCAGGAAAACTGAGTTAGAAATCAGGGTCTCTGGGTTCCCACCACTGCTGTAATCATAATGATCTATCGGTCTTCCGTGTAAGAATTTGAGTGACGAACTGGTTCAGCTGCTTAAATTAAAAACTTATCTGGTCTTGCCCTAGGCTGTTTTTCTCAGTGGTTAGAGCACCAGCCATGGACTGAAGGGTCACAGATTAGATTCTGGTCAAGGGCTTGTACCTTGGTCGCAGGCTCAATCCCCAGTGCCAGTTGGGGCGTGTGCAGGAGGCAATCAAAAGATATGTTCTCTCTCACATTGATGTATCTCTCTCTGTTTCTCCCCCTCCTTTCCTCTCTCTCTAAAAAAGACCAAAAAATCAATGGAAAAACTATCCTCCGGTGACGATTAACAAAAATTAAAATGAAAAGAACCTTATCTGGTATTAAGATCTTTGTTTTACACACGAGGAAATTGAGGTATAGTCAGATTAAAAGACATGCTCATGGTCACCTAGCAAGAGAGTGGAAAATCAGGTTTTGGTTTCATCACAGTTACATTAGGTTGGATCCCTGCATTTGAGTGCAACTTTAGGTTATAACTTGCAAATAAGAGTTGAGAGATGGTCTATGCAATTGTCTTTCAGTATTACTTAACTAAAGGCCTGGTACACGAATTTGTGCACATTGAAAAGAAATTAATTAGAAGGTGGCCGGCAGGGTGAGACTGGGTGAGATAGCTGGGCATGCCCTGGAGCCAACCTCTCTGGCCAGCCGAACCTGGGGCAGTGCCAGGGCTCAAAGGGCGTCTGCAGAGTGAGTGAGGTCCCTCCAGCAGGTGGGATCCCGTGGCCTGGCCTGTGGGGATTGGGTCAAACCTGGCAGTCTGACATCCCCCCAGGGGTCCCAGAGTGCAAGAGGGCACTCTGCAAAGTTGTCACTTGGCAGTTCCTGCACTGAGTGTCTGCCCTCTGGTAGTCAATATGCATAATAGCTACTAGCTGGTCAGCTGAACCTGACTCAACAGCAGTCATTTAGCTATATATCCTATCTAATAAAAGAGAAACATGGTAATTAGCGTACGTCCACTACCCTTCCCATTGGCTAATCAGGGCGATATGCAAATTAACTGCCAGCCAACATGGCAGCCGGCAGCCAGGCTACTAACACGAACAGGAGGCTTGCTTGCTTCAGTGACGGAGGACTCCAACGTTCCCCACCTGTCGCTGCTGGGCTCTGAGCTGCTAAGAAACATTGTTACAAATATAGAAGCTAAACAAA